AGTATCAAAGCAATGCTTAAAACAAAACATAAAACAAAACTAAGTATCAAACGATACTCAAAACAAACCAAATATCAAAGCGATACTTAAAACAAAACATAAAACAAAACTAAGTATTAAATGATACTTAAAACAAACCAAGTATCAAAGCAATGCTTAAAACAATTTATAAAACAAAACTAAGTATCAAACGATACTCAAAACAAACCAAGCATCAAAGCGAGACTTAAAACAAAGCATGAAACAAAACTAATAACCGAGTACCTATACCAGTTACAATGACTATAAGGACAGAGATTTGACACATTTCGCAATTTCCGAAACTGGACAGACCAATGATAACATTGGTGTTCGGTAGTTGATTGAGGTTTTTGAACCTGGAACAATGAGTAGAAAATCACAACTTTTAATCCTCGATGGTCACACTTCACATTTGACTGTTGAATTTATTGAGTATGCGCAATGTCATGACATTCAGCTTCTCTGCTTTCTGAGTCACTCTACCTACATCTTACAGCTGCTAGATGTGGGTATTTTTAGACCTCTTGCAACCTACTATAGATGTGAAGTAGATTCATGGTCTCGTGCTCATCTTTACCATACTCTCAACAAGAGAGATTTCTTTTCACTTTGCCAAAAAGCCTGACAGGCAGCCTTCACGAAGCCAAACATCAAGTCCTCTTTTATTGCAACAGGAATTTATCACTACCATCATGCACGAGTTCTTGAAATTTTATAACAAGTTACCCCCTCCTCTACATAGCTAATTGAAGTTACTACTACTGCTTCTACCCTCCACTCTCCCACCAATAGCCTTCCTCCAAAGATTACCTTGGTTACTCCTCCTACCAGCTCCAAAGAAGTCACACAACTTAAGAACATATTACGGTCGTCAAATAATATTGAGGATATTAAGAAAGTTAGACTTGCCCAGAGTTGTGCAGCCCATACAGCCATGGCAGTATCACGAATGTAGCTTGGTGAGGAAAAGGTTTTCACGTGACACATGGTTATGAGTCACAGGTAGGTTATTGTTTCACACATATGACTCAAATGAGTCATATGATTTGATATGTGTGGGATTTGTAATACTTTCACACATGGCTCAAATATGAGTCATGGGATGTGTGCCAGATGAGGATGCCTTGCGAGTGTGCCTTGTGGGTATGCCTTGTGCATATGGTTTATGTTTTGCACATGACCTCATTATGAGATCATGTGTTTCATGCATATGACTCAGTCAAGTCATATGACTTGTTTATTGTGTTATGATTGGTTTCTGAGTTTTTACACATGACCTCACTCTGAGGTCATGGATTTTGAGCATGTGACCACTTTGGTCACATGACTGGTTTGTTATGATTTGGTTTCGCACATGGGACCACTTTGGGTCACATGACTACGGGCAGGAAGAACACTATATAAGAAGGCTGATGTGGCTGAGGAGGATTGGTTCTTCACGCTTTGTTCTAAGTACTTTTCCTCGTCCTTGCCATCGCTTCGCCCCGAGCATTTCTTTTGTACCCATAGTGGGCCTTGATCCCTCAGATTCTGGGGGAGATATCTGAGTTCGCTCAGTAGTTCCTGGGGTTCTCGGTATTCAGGTCTGTTGGCGTTGCGTGGCAGATTACTTGTTTGCTTCTCATTTCGTTGCCTGATGACTTCTCACGATGCTGTCACTTCGAGCTCTTCAATATGGTTGCTTATGAGCCCCTTTCCATAAAATGTCTTTGGCTTCCTGTCTATCGTCTACGCGCAGGTTTCACGTTCGATTAGAGAGGATTGAACTTTGTGTTTGGGGGGATCACCCGTGTCGTTCTTTAGGCCAGCTCATGTTTCTTGTTATGGTTTAACAGAGTCCTTACTTTTCACGATATAAAACGCCCTTGGGTTAGACTGATGACCTTTCCAAGTATCAACTCATCACACCAGCCACATCATTCCTCAGGTGGCAGGGCGGTGCCCACCCAGCCTCTCCTCGTTATGTTTTCATTTCTACAGTCGGAATCCTACAATGTTGTTTATCACTGTTCCCTTGGAAGTTTTGTCCTTGCGGCATATACCGTGGTTCAGCTTGGTGTCTCCTCCTCGCTACGGTGGGGATGGCTTTGACCCTGAAAAATCTTACCCCCTGGTGTGGTTTTACATTGCTACCTGGGGTGGTGTGGGACGATTGGCTGCCAGATACATGCGTTGTCTGTACGTTTAGGTGGTTCAGTTGTGGTCTGTAGTTGGCGGCTTCACTCATTGCAAGTGGAGCCTACCTTCTGTTTGTCTGCTTCTGTTCATTTGCCTTCCCTCTTCTTGTCGCGTCAGTTGAAGATGCCTGTTGCCTGTCGTTCGGTCCGTGCCTGTTGCCGGACCTTTGGGGCCGGCTTTGGCTGGCTCTGCTTACTCTTTCCCGACTCGGTTAGACTTCGGTTCGACTGGGTTCAACGGTGTGGCTGGTGCCCATGCCTTCGGGTATTGGTACTGCCTCCTTTGTGGCTCCTGGCTGTAGCTGGTAGGCCACCCTCAGCTATACAGTGTTGAAGGATAGGGCTCTGTTCATGTGGCCAAGACCAATAGCCGCCTGATGGGGCTGGGTATATGCTGTCCTGTGGCTATTAGATGGTTGATCTGTCTGAGTGGCTGGGGGGGCTGGATGGGCTCTGTGGCGTCTGGTATGTGGGGGTTGGGGGGGGCTGATTGGGGGGAGAGGTACCTGCGAGCAAAGGTCGGGCCTGCGTCAGGTTGGGTGACGTCTAATTAAGTGTTTCCAGTCCGGCTTGGGCTGTTGGGCGAAGCTGCTGAGTGCTGTAAATCTCCCCGATGGACCGGTTAGCTGATGGCCACCTGTGTGGATAGTGGGTTGTGACCACCTGGTTGAACTTGTTTGGGTCTTGCGAGTTGGGATTTGTGGGGTTTGTTTGGTTTGTTTGGTTTGGTTCTGGGTACAGCAGGAGGAGACAAGGTACCACAGGTGGGAGATAGGCCCCACTGACCTTTACGGTCTGTCACCACCTCTATGTATTTCCTTTGTTTATAGTGTTTTTGTTTGAGGGACAGGCAGCAGGTACAGGTCCTCCTCACGTGTACGCTCCTCGGAGGCAACTGGCAAAGTGGGTTCATAGGGTCGACGGCCTGACATGCAGGTACGAGAGGTGGACATGTTGGTTACCTCCTCCCTGCCCTTGTGTCACCTGTAGATTTAGTTTGTGTGTATTTTGTTTGGTTTTCTACTGTGGTGGAGGTATTGCCGAATGGTATTTGGACCAAGTGGTAGTAATTTTTGATTATTGGACGAGGAACCTCGTCGGGTTGGTCTTTTGCTCGGCTTCGGCTACACTTAGTGCTGATTGCCTTCATACTAGAGGGGCTACGGACTTGAACTGTTGCGGGCGCTGGGTTGTTTGATGGTCTTGTAATAAGTTCTTGTACGGGCATGACTCGGAGATGGCAGGTGCGGGCCCATACACTTAGTTAGCTTAGGATTAGTAGTATGCCAGTTAGCAGTATCCCTGTGCCGGCGGGAGCTCGTTGTATGCCAGTGTTGGCGGTACGAGTTTAAATAAAATGAGATTGAATTCTATGTACTTTTCCTACCTATTACTTTAACGAATCTAAAATACTTTTACGATCTTTATCTTTATTGCAATAATATCGTGATGCCAAGGAAAGCTCTTCACGTAGAAGAGTTAGAGAAAACTTATGATAGGCATTCCCGATAGAAGACAAAGGTCTTGTACTATTGGTAACGTAGGCAAAGGCATAGTGCTATCGTGAGACGAAGAGAGAAGGAGAAAAATAAGCCAAGTATCGTTCCCTATCGCCAAGAACTAACTAACTGAGGAGGGATCATTATAGGCAGTAGTAATAATTGCTCAAGAGACGGTTAGACAAGTTGCAGCGGCCCTGAAGAAGAGCAAATCTGATCAATGTCATATTTCTAAAGCTAAACTAATATCACAACATGATCTTGATCAAGCTCAAAAGGATCAATTAGAGAAGGAGATCAATGCTTAAAAGAGAAAGGAAGTAAGGAATACAAAGAAAATACTACAATGTAATCAAAGAAAAACACTCTCTGAAAACCTGCCAAATGATAGAAGGCAGTGTGCTTGTCCAACACTGGTGCTGATAAATGAATGCAGCATCTCTGGACCTATTATCCCATCTCCAGCACTAAGTACTATTTCCACTGCACTTGGTCAATCCCACCGCTCCCCTCTCAACAGAATCAGTGACAATGCTACTTGTAGCAGAAGTTAAGCTAGCTCTCGGTCCTATTTCTTGGTTAGTTTGCCCTACTTAATATCCTGATATTTGTATTGTTATCCAATGTCCCGCAGATTGAGATTTTTCCCAGTACTACACTATCTATATACTCTGATTTATGACTTTTTTTTTCTTTTCTTTTTTTTCTCAATTTGCCTTGCATCTTTGAACCTATCAGTATTGCGGAAGTTTTTACTCAGATGTTTGTAGTTGTGTTATGTGCTTCATTGTCTCCCTTCTAGTGATTTTCTGTGGTGGTCGGTATCCCGGTCGTGGCCCTTTTGCACCGTAAAATACGTTACAGTGCAAACTCCTTCGACCAAGGGCCAACCGCGCCACTTGCCATTTTTTGTTTTTCTCTTGTCTACTCGAGTACAAGTACTCATAGTCTGCGAGTAGGTTCTCTCTGAGCTTCTTCACGTGATGTCAACCTCGGCTTTCCTCAGTTTTCTCCCTTCTTCTTTTGTGTTTGTGAATTTTCTCGGCTCGAGGATGTAAACCCCCCTCTCCTGTGCTGGTGGTAGTCAATGAAGCTTAAAGTTAACAATTCTCTTTCTTTTCTTTTTCCAGTGACCTCCAACAATACATTTCCCGAGTGATACATCATGACCGACCGTTGCCGTAATGAACGTCATTCCCTAGTGCCCTAGCTATGCCCACCATCCCAACCAATCGGAGAAATTCCGGATAACAAAAACGACATCTTCCCGCGGCCTCAGTCGTCCTCACCCACAACTCAAGTTGGCTCTCGAATTCGCGATTCTTCCAAAACGCTGCACCGCCGTTTAGACACACAGCGGCAAATAACCATGTTCACCAGATCCTCCGCCCATCGTAAGTCTCACTGCCTCTATTAAAATATCCCGAACATAAAAAGGCTGATTGCATCGGCTATAATGATAGTCAAATTATCGGCGCTGCCGAAGCCGTTCTTGATAGCGAGATCTCTTGTGGCAAGCCAATTCCGGTTTGGCCACCCCACCTCGAATCACTTGGGCACATCCTAACTGACTCTACTTCTTTTTTCCTTTGCTTTCTGATATAGCCCGATCGCAACCTCCATCTCCGCTTCCACGCAAAACTTCTCCCCGGACGGGGCCCACTCAATCCTCGTCGCCCAACGCAAACAGCGGCCTATATCACCGCACCTAGGTATTTACCAGCCGCAATTAACTTGGTGCGGTTCCGCTGCGAACAGGATTACTGGCTCTATTCTCTCGGTGGGTGCATATGGCTTCTTCGCCGCGTACGCTGTGGCACCGGTGTTCGGATGGCCTTTTGATAGCGTTACTATCGCAGCGGCATTCTCGGGTTTGCCGGCCGCGACCAAGTTTGGCATTAAGTTTGCCGTTACCCTGCCGTTTTCTTATCACTCTTGGAACGGGATTAGGCATTTGCTTTGGGATACTGGCAAGGCGTTGGATATCAAAGATGTCTATAGGACTGGTTATGTTGTGCTTGGGTTGACGGTTGTTAGCGCAATTTGCCTGGCTATGGTCTAATGCTTAGGGGGACTGTAGACAGGAGTTGGAATTGGTGGAAAATTGGAGGCCTGAGCTTCAATATGATGCCTTAGGCATTTGAAGGTTTTGGTCGGGCCTTTCTGGTCTGCCTTATATTGACACTGTACTAGATTTTTAAAGACCGGGGTTTTAGTCACCCCGGACCCGTTGCCCATTCCTACCTGTTCAAAGAAAATCTATCCGTATACGAAATCTGTCATGTTCTCCATTACTGTTAACCTATCTATCTAGCAACCTGTCTTTATGCACTCAGCATAGAAATATGATACAATGACCGTGATGTGGGGTTGATAGGCCTATCTAGCGCTCCTAAGTGTTCCACTATCATTCTAGTTTCTTTTTCTTTAGGTCTTCTTTTATGTGCTCCTCTACTTGCTTGTAGGCACGCTCGCATTCTACGGCCAAGGCAGGAATTCCTGTGACTGATGCAATCTGAAATCGAACCTAATGTTAGCATACTGGAGCTTTTGGAGAACCTATTGTAATGGCTACCTCTTGAGCATGTCCTTTCCTAATTAGCATAACTTCTGCATGCGCCAGCCCACCGCTGTCCTTCTTCCCTGACCCCATCTCCAACACTATTGGTCTATATACCGATTCGAGGGAGGCTGCTGGAGTGGGGGCAAGAAGATTTCGGCTAAGTAAGAATTCTAGGTGCTTTGCACCAGACAATGCTTTATTATGATGTTAATATTATTTTCTTAAATGGTTTCAAGAGGTAATTACCTTTCCAGTGAGAGAAGGCTCTATACAAGAGGTAAAAAAAGGGTATCTGTTGAATCCCATTAGCGCAGGCATTTGAATATCGATAGGAACTAGAACTGGATACTATACGTTTGGGATGACAGGAACAATAGCAAACGGAGCGACAATAGGCATTCCAACTATGGACCAGATCATTCGGGTACGATGAATTCGGTTACGCTCGGTGGCAAGCCTTTGCAGTATAGGCGAGACGTTCTTCTCCTTGATGACTGAAGGTGGATATAGCACTTCTATCTTCTGCTTGTCGGCTCCCCTGTCTTTTCGGCGTGCAGATAGAGGCGGTATAGATTTCAGACTCCTATATCATAGACCTTGGTTAAAAAAAAGTAGATAAAAGTGGAGCGAAAGCATGCATTCACGAACCATTCCTCGTGGTGTATCCTGTTGAATAGTTTGTTGCCCGCATCCGTAATCCATCGTTGCCAGCCAGCTTTTCCGGTTTCCTATCGTTCGAGAGGGAGTGGTATCAGGTCGTGAACTTCATGTAGCAGATTTTTTTCTTGGTTCAGATGTAGGTAGCTCTAAGGAAGACGGGAGAGGCGAGCAAACCCATTGTAGCCAAACATTGGCAGCCTTGCTATGGTTGGAAACCACCATTAGTGAAAGAATACTAATATGGCGAAGATAGTAGGGTTAACTCACGCCGAGGCTTTATCAGCGTAGGATGGTTCTGCAAGAGTTATCTTGTTCAGACGCTGGGCGTAGACAAGAGTGCGCCGTGTCGAGATGGGAATCAGGAAGAGCCTCATGGCGTTTCTTGTTTCGATCTG